ACTTGACCTCAGGCCTAGTTCACTACAATTTTATGCACATAACTCATTGTGGGGTACTAAGAATGATGGTAATGGAACAATTATTGAAGAATTAATGGAAAATAAATAAAAATCTTGGCTGTTTAAACGATGGTAAAGGAACAAGAGTTGATATGAGAACAGGTATGGAATCGGCAATTGACCTAACAATAATATCAAATTCAATAGCAGGAATTAGTTCATGGCAGATAGTTAAAGATACAACAATAGGAAGCGACCACTATCCCATAGTAACAGAAATAAAATTGGATATTGAAAAATATAAGACAGGTGGTTTGCAGAAATGGTGTTTTGGTCGTGCTGATTGGGAAACATTTAGACGTATAAGTGATCAGGAATTGGGAAAAATTAATGTAAATATGGAAGTTGATCAGTTAAATGTCTCTGTTTGTCATGCAATCATACAGGCTGCTGACAAATCTATAAAGAAGAAAGGAGGTAAGGGCTGTAAGAAGCTTGTTCCATGGTGGACAAAGGAGTGTGATAAAGTAATCAAAAGTCAAAATAAAGCTTTTAAAATGTTAAAAAGGAATCACAGCTCCCAAAATCTTATTGAATATAAGAGATGTCAAGCCATTGTGAGAAGAACTATTAAAAGTGCAAAAATGGATTATTGGAGGAATTTCTGTAATTCAGTAGGAAGAGAAACTGGGATTAATAAAGTATGGACAATGATAAGAAGAATGAATGGAATTAAAAGAGAATATGGTTATCCGGTATTAAGCAATGGTCAAATTACAGCAGTAAAAGATGAAGAAAAGGCAGATCTGATGGCTAAAACCTTTACTAAAATACATAGTTCAGATACTATTACTTTGGAAAGGAAAAGGGGAAGAGAAATGACAATGATAGAGAATAGAGAGATCTTGGAGCATGTAGAGGATGGAAGTGATCTATTAAATGTTCCTTTTACAAAATCAGAACTAAATGGAGCCCTACAGAAATTTAAGCTAACAACACCTGGGAAAGATCAGATTTGTTATTTAATGGTGAAACATCTTAGTGAATCCTCTAAAGACATTTTATTGGAACTGTAGCGTGCTAAGGGCTAGGTTAACTGCCCTTGGCTACAATATATTTAAATAAACGGGTTCTCTCTTTTTCGATTTAAATTCAGCCATGTGACCGAGGTAACTGTGCGTGGATTGTTTAATCAGTGACATGAGACGTTAATTTCCTTTGACCCATCAAAATAAATGTGGTCATTTATTGAACAGAATCAAAATTTAACATCAAAACATTGTACACTTGATTAGCTGATCTGGTTCTGATTAATAAAACTTGGCACGTTTTACTTAATAAGACAACAGAACTTGAAGAAGGCATCTAGACTACTGGCAAAATAGAAGAGTTTAAAGATGGGAAATGAAGGAGTTTAAATGGAGAGAAAAGATGGATGAGGGAAAGTGTGTTGACTAGGAATGGCTGCCTTCATCCGACCCCAGCTCAGCCCCGGTACACTCGGTGCGTGGCGACTCGTTACCTTTGCAGAAGATAGGTCAGCTCCGGTACAGAGATCCATTTCAACGCTACCTTTCAGCGTCTCCAGTCAGGATGGCTGAGAATCGTCCAAAGTAGTGACGGTACTCCGTTCAACAGAATAAGCTTCCTTAGAAGTTGTAGGGCGTTACGCCTGGGTGAGTTCACAGCAAGGCGCTGTGACTCCAGCTGGGATGGACGGACCCTCGTCTCACGGTCAAATCCATCAGCTATTGATTAAATCTGAAAGTTCCTTAGGAACTCTCAGGAAGATTTCAGTCAGAGATTCCACTCAGAAGTGGAGGACTCCATAAAAGACTGAAGAAGACCCCAGGAAGACTCCGGTCAAAGACTCAAGAAGACTGAAGACTGAGAAGTTCAAGGAAGTGTGGACTCTTAAAGAGTTCTCACTTCCGGTCACTTCAGGACTTCCTGATTGGTTGAAACAACCACCATGGGGTGGTTCTAGTGACGTCAGAGGGTCATTACAAGTCAAGAAAACAGCAGGAATGTTTTAGAAACGTCCCGTACAGACAGAGACATGTTATGGCGAAGTGGGAGGAAGCAGATGCCAGTAGCTTCTTATTTACCGTCTGCTAGGTTTAAAAACACGACACTTCGTTCTAATAACTTCTTTCTGACTTTTGACCGACATCACTACTTTTCATTTCAGACAGAAGATCAAAAATGCATAATTACTTTGTAAATAGACATTTAACTTGATTTCTAATTTAAATGAGGATTAAAAAATCATTAATACTGTTTCACAGTTGATTTAAAACGAGTGGTTCACTTCAACATTTAAAAATGGTTTGAACTAAACACACTTTTGATTATCAAGATATTGTAAAATAGTAATGATAATATAAAAGAAGAGTGTTCTTTCAATTGATTACTTCAGGATACAATTAGACAGTCTCTGGATGAGCTAAGTTGTATTTCTGGATTCAAATCAATGAAATAACAGTTCCTGTCCCATGAAGGTCTTCAGAGGCAGGTTTTGGTCTGAGGCCGAGTTCACTACAGAACTTTATAATAAAGTTTGGGAGAATGGAAAATTACCACAGGGATGGAAAGAAGCAGTGATAATACCAATACACAAGCCAGGCAAAGATGACACAAACCCAGAACATTACAGACCGATTGCATTAACGTCTAATATATGCAAAATAATGGAGAAAATGATTAATGACAGGTTGATTTACTATATAGAATCAAAAGGATATATGTCACAATATCAAAGTGGTTTTAGGAGAGGTAGAAACACCATGGATTCAGTTTTAAGTTTGGAATTTGAAATCAGAAAGGCCCAAGTTAAAAAGAGAGTATTGTAGCAGTGTTTTTTGATATTGAATAAGCGTATGATATGATGTGGAAAGAAGGTTTATTAATTAAAATTAGAAATATAGGCATTACAGGACGGATGTACAGATGGATAAAAGATTTTCTTACCAGGAGACAAATACAAGTAAGGATAGGAAACCATTATTCTGTGAAACACATTGTCGAAAACGGAACTCCACAAGGGTGTATAATAAGTCCTTTATTGTTTACAATAATGATAAATGATGTGTTTCAAAATGTAGGTACTGGGATGGGTTTTTCTCTTTTTGCTGATGACGAAGCAATGTGGAAGATGGGAAGGAACTTGGAGTTTATTACTAGAAAAATGCAAGAAGTTATTTATAAAGTTGAAAAATGGTCATACAAGTGGGGACTTAGATTTTCAGTAGAAAAGACTAAGACAATGTTGTTTACAAGGAAAAAAAATTGGAGATGATATTAAACTAAAGTTAAATAACCAAGAACTAGAAAAAGTGAAGCAGTTTAAATTTCTTGGGGTCTGGTTTGATGAGAGGATTACATGGAATATACACGTACAGAAAGTTTTAGATAAATGCAAGAAGGTGTTAAATATCATGAGGTGTTTAACTGGAAGTGACTGGGGGGCAGACAGGAAAGCACTTAAGGCTGTGTACATATATATATATATATATATATATATATATATATATATATATATACACACACACACAGGATTAATTCGATCAGTACTAGACTATGGAAGCATTGTTTATAATTCAGCAGCAGATACAACGTTACAAAAGTTAGACCGTATTCATTATCAAGCATTGAGACTGTGTACAGGTGCAATGAGATCTACCCCAACAACATCACTACTGGTAGAAATGGGAGAAATACCACTCAAAATTAGAAGAGAACAACTAACTCTAAATTACTGGGCTAATCTGAGAGGTCATGGACAGGATCATCCAACACAAGAGACAGTTAAACCTTGCTGGGAAAAAGAAGTAAAAGATATTAGAAGTTTTGGTTGGACTGTGAATAAGAAAACAACAGAACTCAAAATAGATCAAATCAATATAAGTCAAATAACTCCATTACCAGTAATACCACCTTGGATACTTCCAGATGCCATGGTAGATTTTACATTATTGAAAAAAAGAAACGAGAATAATGGGTTCATTTTAAATTCAAATACGGTACAGAACCATATCAATACATATTACAGCTACTGTATGTTAAAATTTACACAGATGCTTCCAAGAAATTAATAAATAAAGTAGGTGTAGCTTTCATTGTTCCGGAGTTCAACATCAAAGTTAGAAAAATAAGTAATGATGGACTTTCAGTGTACACAGGGGAAATGCTCGCAATATTATTAGCCATTCAGTGGGTTGAAGAAACAAGACCATTGAGATCAGTGATTTGTTCAGACTCCAGTTCATCATTAGTCAGTTACCAGTGTAACCATTCAGAAAGCAGGACAGATATTTTAATAGAAATTCAACAGACATTATACAGAATAAATATGATGGGTCTAATGATACATTTTTTATGGATACCAGCTCATTATGGTGTTACAGGAAATGAAATGGCAGATAAAGCTGCAAAGGAAGCCACTAGAAATCTATCAGTGGAGTTAGTAGTTAATTTTAGTAAAACAGAAATAAAACTTTTAATAAAACAGAAAATGAAGGATAAATGGCAAAAGCTATGGGAGGAAGAAAAGAAAGGACGCTGGTTCTATAAAATCCAAAAGAAAACTGGAGAAATGAGAAGTACAGGGAGGACGAGGAGAGAAGAGACAATTATTTCTTGTCTCAGATTTGGGCGTACTGGGTTAAACAGCACTCTTTTTATTTTAGGGAAACACTGCAGTGGTTACTGTGGAACAGATGAGACAACATGTAATGTTATACTGCAAAACGTACGAGGAATAAAGACAACAGTTGATTCAAAAGTTTAAAAAAAATTAAAGTAAAATTAGATTTAATTGATTTATTCAGAAATAACTCAAATAGTAAAATTTATCAGATAATCTTTCATTATCTTAAATTAACACAGTTATTTAAGAGGATTTAATCCTTGAGTGACATTTTGGTCCACACTCCTCACCAGTCGGTGGCGGTAATGCACCAATTTCGTTGTTTGCCAACCGCCAATAAACCTCAAAGAAGAAGAAGAAGAAGAAGAAGAAGAAGAAGAACCCTGTCGGAAGAAGCGCAGTTCGATAGTAGATCGCTGCATATCTGGCAACCCAAGTGAGTCAAAGTAAAGGGAGGCGGACTCCCTGCAGGGATTCATCGGGTTACACCCATCGCTGTTTAGATGGCTCACAGAGGGGAGTAAGTTGAACGGTGCTGAACACCCTGAAGTCAGTCAGCAGACTTCTCTCCTCACCAATTAAAGCAGAATGGAGCAAGAATTTGAGGATATTGACTCGTCCGGCAAATGGCAAAACCTTTACAACGTAAGTCGGGACGCTGACTGGGCCTCCGTGTTTCTAACGATGCTACTAAGCTAGCTCATTTCAAAGACGCACTGTTTGGACACGTGTATCCTTAATGGTCTTGTGTGTTTTAGAGTAAACAATAAGCTTTATCGCGCTGTGGAAAGTGTAAAAGGCACAGGTGATGTGCACCTGGTAGAGACTGGTGTGAGATGTTAGCGGCACGTTAGCAGCGGCGGACTTCCGTAGCTGGAACGTGCCGCGGCGCGCGCTTATCTGGCCTGCAGACGTCAGTTTCTGAGAACTCGCCAGGACTTCCAGAGAAAGACGCGTGTGTTTGATCACCAGCGCTGTTTCACAACCCAACATGCAGATTTAGGTTGTGTTGTGTCTGTTCCGTTTGGCCGAGTCCTTGCACTGCACGAGCTTCATGTTGGAGATGTTGGCTTCTTGTTCAGCAGTTCCAGGGAAGTGACAGCACAGGTGCTGAAGGACGTGGTTCACCTCAGCACAGCAGACATGTGGCCATGGCTGACTGATGGAACATGTATGTTGACGGAGCACGAACTGATTAAAATGAGGAGCAGACTCATCAGTACATCATAAATGTGACAGCTTCATAGTTCTCTGCAGACCACGGCAGGTTGATGGGACACAGGGAAATAAACACATTTAAGTAGATTAACATCTATGAAGCAGCACATAATTGATAAAATTGCAATCTTAGGTAAATCATCCATCCATTCATCCATTATCTTTACCCGCTTCTTCCATTGCAGGTCGTGGGAGACACATGTGCCCATATATTTGTTAAAAGTTATGAAAATCATACAAAAATACAGGATAATATACAAGAACCAGTATGATGACTTAACAACCAGTAATTTATAGATTTGGAGAGCAGTTTGTATTCATTCAACCTTTATTTGTAGAGGCAGGGCAGCCGGCTTGGGACCCGAAAGTCCCAGGTTCAATCCCCAGTCACTGCACATCACGTGGTGTCTCTGGGCAGCACGTCTCATCCCCAAAATGTCCCCCGGGCGCTTTCAATAGCTGCCCACTGCACCACCTGGTGGTGGATGGGTTAAATGCAGAGACTAATTTCGCCATTGTATGGAAACATACAGTGCTGACATTGTGATGACATTATTATTATTATTATTATTATTTATACACGTTAATCCCACTGAGCCTCGGGGACTCATTTACAAGAGAGACCTGATTTATTATTTTTTAACAAAGTGATGACAACAGTGACAACAACAACAATAGGCAATCATAAAAGAGGCACACAAATTAATATATATATTGCATACATACATATAATGATAATAATAATATATTTATAATATACAATACTCTTTAGTTTTGTAGATATTTGTAAATATTAGGGATGCACGATATTGTTTTTTTGGCCGATATACCGATATGTTAAAAGTTATTCGGCCGATAACCGATGCTGATACCGATATTTTATACATGTTCCTTTGTCAGAACATAGTCCTCTTATTTAGGCTTATTTGCTACAAAAATTGTGCAACAGCTGTAAGAGCTGGTGACATATATTCAGTAACAGCCATATGATATGCACAGCACGTTGACTTATATTAAATGAAAAGTGTTAAATGTTATTTATTAGCATTAGTCACCTGCGATGCTGTCTCACCTGTGGAGCTTGTTCCAGGTTCCTAGCTGCAGTGTGGATCCTGTGCATGAAGGACAGACTTTTTAAGTTCAAAGTTTTTGTCCATCCATTGTTCTGTAAGACTTAAATCATGGCTAACACTTGACGTCCAAATGTCTGTGGTAAAACTCACCCAAGTTATCGCTATTAGCTTCTCAATGACGGCGTGTAACTCTGGTAACGTTACGTCGGACAAATATCTCCGCCTGCGGACGATGTAGTGAAGCTCAACGTGGTCCATAAACCTTCAGAATCCAACATCCTCACCAACGGAAAATAAAACTTCCACACAGCTGACATTTTGAATTTTCCTCTCCGCCGTGAGATCGGGTAGGCGCACGTGACGTCATCGCGTTGCGCTGCCGCTGCAGGCAAAAACTGCAACTTTTATATCAGTGAGTTATTTTAATGGAATGTCCGATATATTGAAATTGAATGTTAATATCGTCCGATTCCGTCATGCATCCCTAGTAAATATTATATACAGTCTCTTCTGGTTACAAGCTTTGAAGTTGTTCAGTAAAATTCCTCCCAAGTAGATGATTTGATGCTTTACAGTGTGATGTTGTCTGTCTTTCTTTTAATCAGTTTCACTTTCAAAAAGTGAACTCTGTTCATTTGCTCACAGCCACATAACAAAGGTGAAGAGAAAGAAAGCAGGAATACTTTTTAAATGACAGACTGACCAGCAGAGCTCTCCCAGTGAGCCTGCACAAGTACAATGCAGACCTTTCATCTCTTTTTCTATGTACTGGTACTTTTCTATGTGCTGGTACTTTGATGCCATCATTGTCATCACTCTTGCATCCACCCTACAAAAACCGGACAGACTCACTTGTGTGTACACATTATTTATGTTGACTTTTTTATTTGAATGCTTCTTTTGTCTGCTTTAGGAAATCCGCACCCAGGCTGTGGAACATCCGTACAAAGTAGCAAAACTTGCAGTGAACAGGGCTCTGAACCGCTACAGAGATGTCAGCCCGTGTGAGTTCCTGAAAGAGATCTTAAATGTTGCTCAACAACGGTGACGTTGTTATGACTGGTCTGCTCTGTGCTTCGGCTTTAGATGATCACAGTCGGGTAAAACTGAGAAACGCAGAAAATGACTACATAAATGCAAGTTTAGTCACCGTGACAGAAGCTGAAAGAGCTTACATTCTTTCTCAGGTATGTGGGCTGCTGAATAAATGCACATTCCAGTATTTTGTACAAATAACTTGTGCGTTTGTTTAATTCTCTTTCTGTACTTTACTGCCACAGGGCCCTTTGGCGACTACGTGTGGTCATTTCTGGCTCATGATTTGGGAGCAGCGCTCCAAAGCTGTTATAATGCTCAACAGAGTTATAGAAAAAGGATCTGTGAGTACACCTGAGCCTGATGATCAGCCTTCTTTCATATTCCTGCTGAACCTGCCGGTTTTTAGAAATGTTCATTTTTATGGAGTTGCATACACATTTTTCATGTACTACATGTAAAAACAAACATTTTACAGCTGACTGTAGGGGCAAGTACCATAAATCATTGGCACTTTCATAGTAAGAATATTTTGTTAAATACTTCTGATCTTTTAGGCATCAACATGTACAAATCCTTCTGCTTTTTACAAACTTGTATAAATATAACCCCAGTGATCAACATTTTTCATCATTATTGTGAACTATAAGCTCCATCTATGACTCGGCAGCTTGTAGAATCACTTTTGGTTGAAATAACTTGAACTGTCTTCTGTATGACTTTCTCACTCTTTTATTTTTCCACTTATAAAGTTTTTTTCTTTGAATTTTTTTAAAGTGGCCATTTCAGCACCTTGAGATGTTTTTCAGTCAATTCTTTGCAGGTTCTCAGTTATACTTGGAGTTATTTTCCTGTTGTGTGACCTACTTTCAGTCAAGCTTCAGTTCTCAGACTGATGGCCCCACGTTTGACCTTTGAATGCTTGGGTCAACTCTGCGAGTGCAGTCACGCGTCGAAGTGCCGCTGAGCAAGGCGTTGAACCCGTCGGTGTATGGCTGTGATGGAAAGCACTGATTAGACTTTATTGAATGATTGATTCAGATTGGCTCTGCAGAGATGTGGAGTGCTGCAGGAACACGAGTGGAGGGATAAACGATGGCACAGACTGAGTCCTGATGTGCTCCCTGACTATGACCTCTGACCTTTAGGTTGTCTTACAGACTTACCATGAACTATTTTCTTTAAAGTTGGTCTAATCTTGAACAATGTCTGATGTTTTCACACATTCGCTGTCCTTGAACTTAGAGTCAGGTACAGCCTGACTAATGTTTACTCTTTTCTTTTATGCTCTTAAGAAGGAAAAAACAAAATCATTACTGAAGTTTGTTTTATTCGATTATAACGGGTGTGAATATGAATAGTGAACAATGTAAACTATAATGAATCGGTTAAGTTTAATTTTCTTATCTAAGATCAATTAACTCTTTGAGCAGCAATTGTTTTGGCCTCTATACAGCACCGATTTAAACAGAGTTTAATTATTTGATAAATGGTTTACTTTAGATTTTGGTTGAGAAGTTATTTAATGTGACCATAATCCAGATCAAGTCATTTATTGTCTCTGCAAGCCAGGAAATGATTCTTCAAGTTGCATCAGCTAAAACTGGCCTAACCAGAAAAGATGCACCTTTTTGTTTGACCACACAAAGCATCTTCCTACCTGTTACTTTTGAGAAAACGGCTTTCCAGGAATATTATATAAAATGACTTAACAAATATTTGTACACTCCCCAGAGACCGTTACTTGGTACATGTGTGTCTGTCCTTAAGGTCACACCTCTCATAACATGGGTGTACATGGCCACCTGTCCAGGACTGAATTCTTCTTTGCCTCAACAGGAAAAGTGTGCACAGTACTGGCCCACGTCAAAGGAGCTGCAGATGTTTTTCACAGACGCGGGCTTTGTTGTGAGGCTGCTGTCAGAGGAGGACCAATCCCAGTATACGATCCGAGTGTTAGACCTTGAGAACACAAAGGTAAGCACAGGAGGAACCTGTTAAACAGTTCAACTATTTATCTCCACAAGTCCGGGAATAACACTTTGTAAAGAGTTGAATTCATGGCAGTTCAGCCCTTTTCAAGAAAATAATCTCATTGTTCCATTTCTCTGATGAATCAACAGATCATTTAACATTTCTTAAGCAGTTTGTCGGCCTCTTTGTTTCATCATGTCAAGCAGCAGATCAGGAGTTGTACTACAAAGTAAGATGAACAACGTAACCACTTAATGTTGTGCTGAAAGTTAACGTTGTCAGTATCTTAAGGATGGCTCTGTGCAAGTTTGGCTAGATTTCCATGACAACAGAGGCTGAACTTAAGCTTTTTTTTTAAGAGACCGAAGGCTTTCATACCAATATTGGGAGGGGCGAATGCCAACAACTGATAGAATGGGTGAAAATGTTCTAGCTCTGTCCACCCTCAAGAATCTCAGTAAACAGTGAGTAGAACTGGGCTTGTTTATTTAGCACAGCTGTTAGCAACCATGAAGCTAAGCTAATCAGATCCACACTATGCATAGTCCCACTGTAGGTTTACCAGTGCTGCACTGGTCACAAAAACAGTTCCTAACGTGCGTTCACATTTTCTATTCTCCGCTATTCACCATAAAGTTATCAAGTGCGTTACGTAAATATAAATTAAACTAAGGAACGCCCTTCCCTGTTCATTGTTTAAACAATCAGTCACGCATGGTGAAGGTCTAATTAATATTGACAGCAGCAATGTTTATTTTTCTTTTGTAGAGAAGTAAATATTTCAGACAAACAATGCATTTCTTTGAAGACGACAAAGATAATGTTACCAACACTGATATATTTTACCTCTACGTTAGACTTATTGTGGTAATAACCTATGCTAGGTTATCTAAACATTAGCTTGGTAACTCAAGAGGCATGTAGCTAGTGACCAGCAGGTTGGAGTATTGAAGATAATTTAATTTACTATTGTTGATTTGTTTTACAGATCACTTAAAATAAATTTACCATGCTCTGTTGAGCAAAATCCACTACACAGTATTGCTCGCTGCTTCGGTCATGCTGAACATGAAAGTGAAACTTAAGTGAACAGCAGAGACTTGAAAGACCTCATGCGCCCTCTGCTGGATACATTGTACAAGTATTGCTGGTTCCAGCATTTTAGGGGCGAAAATTAGAAGCGTTTATATCTGCACATAATGGACGAGTTATCACCGATACTGATATGTCCCCGAACGCTGATATCTGCCTTAAATTATCGGCCATACTGATATATCGGTCGGGCTAGTTGTTTTTAAACTGTCAGTAAGGCGCATGCTCATGTGAGGAACGATTGCCGCTTGTCATCTAAATTATAAACACTGCTCATTTTAAATTCTGTCAGTTCTAGAGCTGCATTTTGACACCTGCACAATATCTCATGATTAAAAACATCTAAGACAACTACTCTTAATATCCAGGTTTAAAAAAAACACAAGGATAAGGTAGTTAAAAAAAATAGATCCAGATCTGCCTATCTTCATTTCATTTGTGCATTTCAGTAGAAAAAACCAACTAAATGTGTGTAGGAAGTGTGTTGAATCAGTGTGTTGTGTACACGGTGTACAATAAAATAACGTGAGTGTTGGAATACTGGTGTGTATTTGTAGTTTGTATTATGTGGTGTAGACAAAAACTAGGCCCTGGTTTTCATGAAGTGACTGCTGAAAACATGGCTGCATGACTCACTGCTCGCTTGGTCACGAACATTCAGAATTCAGTAGGACTTGAATAAAAAATGGACTGTGAGCACCACCTGCTCTTTGATCGTTGTCTTCATGAGATCTGGCATCAAATGACCGACTGAAGCTACATTTTATGTGTTGACTGCCGGTGCCTACAACTCTGACAGTTTTAAAAAGAATATGACGTGGGATTGTAAAACGACTGACTGTTAACTTCAAAGGCATTTTATGCATTTATACATCGGCTTAAATGCTGAGGAGAAAAATTAAACTGTCAACAATTCACTAGTCGGTATTTGTTCCATAAACTTCAAGTTTTAAGTCTTGACTAAAAACTTTAAAACAAGACAAAAACAAATAGTTTTTAACATTAATAACTGGCATCATTTATTGTGTATTTAATGCTTTTGATTACGTACATATTTCCTTCTTTGTACCACCCAAGTGTTTTCGGTCAGGCAGCAGGGTTTTAAAAATATGTACTGGTATTAATAAAGATGCATATTGGGCTGTATAAGTGAATTTAAAATTGTGCACAATTTCCAAACTGAAACTGCTGTTATTGGATTTAAAAACGTATAATACAAACGTTTTTCAGAGAATAATACACAACAGTGGATTATTATATAAATTCAGTTATGCAGTAGTCCCTCGTTTATCACAGGTGTTCTGTAACCCCCAGTGATAAGTGAAAAACTGCGAAGTAGGGAGACAGAAGTTCATGTTCAGTCAACTTTGTCATGACGTGTGCCAGGCTGTAATCACACTCATCACCTGTTACTCCCAATCTCCCTCCTTAAATAAACAGTTTCAATGTAGAGAAGTGCAGCAGGGCATCAAAGGGTTAACGCAGCTCTGCAGCAGGAGAAATGTGTGTGGTGGCAGAGAAGGAGATCAGCTGATCAGCTGCAGGAGGGAGCTTCCCCTGCATTTGTGGGCTTCACACATGGTGCAAAATCATTTAAAATAATTTATTTTAAATAAACAACCCATGGCTCGTCCATCAATCAGCCAGTTGCGTCATGTCCAATCTTACTTTGAAAAACTGCGATACATCGAATCCGTGAAAAACGAACGGCGAAGTAGCGAGGGACTACGGTAATTTGGTCATTAAAGCTGAGCAATTTTTAGTTGGTCAATTTTAATTTGCATATTTTATCTCTGTTTCCTACTATTTTTAGATTTAGTCACTGTTTTTATATCCACGTTATTGTTTTATTAATTTAGTTTCTGGCCTTATGTTTTTATTTATTTATTAAAAGTTGATGTAAAATGAACTTGACAAGCTTGAAGTGATTTGCCAGTTACGAGACAGATCTGGTGCCAAACCAACATTCTGCTCATAAAGTAATATACGTTTAGAAGCATTGTTTATGACCTAATCCACTGAAATATACTGATTTACTTATATTTGTGCAACACTTTTCAGATGTACTCCTTTGTTCTCTTAACCAAGCAGAACACCAGTGCCTTTCCTGTGATGTTTTATGTTCAAGTTCAAAGTTTACTCATGCTGCCTGCTCGTCTTTCATTCAAACCTCGGGCTGATGGGTGCGTCTGTGCAGAAGAAGCCTCAAATGAAGCGTTAAATCTTTGTGTAAATGTGTACCAGCCTGAGTCGGGCTTGAGTGGAGCTTTGGTTATGTTGTTTTGCACTACACTCCTCACGCCTGCACGGCTGAACTGTCTTCAGTCCTTCACTTGTGGCTCATATCTTGTCTTGGTTTTAGACGGGAGAGTCCAGAGAGATCTACCACTTTCACTACACCACATGGCCTGACTTTGGGGTGCCAGAATCTCCTGCCTCCTTCCTCAACTTCCTCTTCAAGGTTCGGGAGTCTGGCTCGCTGGGCCCGAAACACGGGCCCTCGGTGGTGCACTGCAGCGCTGGAATCGGCCGCTCGGGGAGCTTCGCCTTGGTGGACACCTGTCTACTCCTGGTATGAGAGGGGAAGGGCTAGTAGCATCACTAAATGCTGAATTCAACAGAAAAGTTGTTTAAATGAGTGAAAACTTTCTGTAAAGCTCTGTGTTTTGGTATAAAAGTAGGGTGAGATTTTAAAATAATTATGAAGTGTGCTCAAAAATTGAAGGCATTTTAGTCAAATCTTGAACAAAATGAACCCTTACGCAGAATCTCATGCCAAATTAAAAAAATGCTGCGCACAAAGTATTTCTTGTGAAATACTCTTGGCTACTACCATGCCAAATTTGAGCTTAATGTCTATAAAATATGCTGAAATATTGACACTTTTATTTTGTAACGATTTGATTACCATTGAACACGCTGCAGTGTAAATATAAAACCAGTACTGGTGCTTTTTGTCGAAGGACTTTAGCTTATTTCACAAATAAACAGATTTCCATGCCTGATAAATTGTACATTAACATGTAAAAAACTACAGAGTGCTGACCAACAATTAGCTTTGATGCTAACACTGAAAACAAAAAGACAATGTAATTTCAAAGTCATTACTAAAGGCAGGCATGATGACGTCACTTATTCTAGACTCGTCAGGGTTTAGTGAAGAAAAGCTGAAAAATGTTTAAACGCGCACTGTTTTACTGCAACATGTACTGTGAGTGTAAAAGTGCAGCAGCTACTCTACTGACTCCTGAAGTTAAAATCTAATTTTGAGCGTGATGCATCTGAAATGTTCTATTTGGATGAGCCTGTGAGGGTGAAGCAAGAACGCAGTCCGTTGTGTATTATTGCTGCTTGATTTCACTGCAAGTGCCAACATCCAGGAAACAAGTTGTACTGGAGGAGATGACTTCATCTCACAAAGATCATTAATCATCAGTTACAACTGGAATAATGAAATTGAGTTTTCCTGTCTGGACTCTGGTTTGAAGTGGGCGGAGCTTTTTCTGTACAAAAGGAAATCCTCCACTTCCTCACCCGTTCAGGTTTAACCACCTTCAAACCATCTGAAGTGTTTCTGAGGAATTTGGTTGCTAAATCTTAGACTATGTAGTTCAGAATATACATGCACAGCTTGTTGTGACGGACAAGTTACTTAGCCAAGTTTACATTGTTTCAGCACCCAGTTAAGAAAAACATCTTGCGTCAGGAATGCCATGGATGATGTAACATCGTGACCTGAAGAAACATGGTGTCATATCCTGTTGGGCAATTTGATGTGACTCAGTATGAAGTGAAAACAATGACTTCACTGAATAATCTTACCGCCTGTGTTTCCTAAACATGTAAATCTGTTTTTTAGATGGACAAGAGGAAGAGCCCGTCATCAGTGGACGTACAGAAGGTGCTGTTAGGCATGAGAGAATACCGCATGGGTCTGATCCAGACCGCGGACCAGCTGCGTTTTTCTTACATGGCCATCATCGAGGGAGCCAAGCTCATTCTGACTGACAACTCAGAGCCACAGGTAGCTCACATTCATGACTGAAGGCTGATGCCCAGCTTCTCAAAGTTTAGGTGGAGAGCTTCTCTAGCAAACGGAAGCTTAGTTATCACCTGCTGCTAAAAGCTGAAAGGGCAACAATGCTTTTGCCTTGGTTTTTTTGTACTGTTGGCAAAACGGCTTCTTTTTTTTTTCATCCAACCTTTATTTATACAGGTTAGTCTCACTGAGTCACAAAAAAAGAGCCCAGGCAGGATGGAGTGGATGGAGAAAAGTTTCAGGAGTTATTTGTGAATAAAGGGTGTCAGCAAAGGTCAAAGGCAAAGTTTACAAGACAGTGGTGAGACCAGCTATGTTGTATGGTCTGGAGACAGAGACATGGACAAAAAGACAGGAGACAGAACTGGAAGTGGCAGAAATGAAGATGTTGAGGTTCTCCTTAGGAGAGACAAGGATGGATAAGATCAGGAACGAGATCATCAGAGGTACAGCACAGGTTGAACAACTGGGAGATAAAGTTAGAGAGACCAGACTGAGATGGTTTAGACATGTCCAGAGGAGGGACAGTGGTTTGGACATGTCCACAGGAGGGACAGTGGTTTGGAAATGTCCAGAGGAGGGACAGTGGTTTGGACATGTCCAGAGGAGGGACAGTGGTTTGGACATGTCCACAGGAGGGACAGTGGTTTGGACATGTCCAGAGGAGGGACAGTGGTTTGGACATGTCCAGAGGAGGGACAGTGGTTTGGACATGTCCAGAGGAGGGACAGTGGTTTGGACATGTCCAGAGGAGGGACAGTGGTTTGGACATGTCCAGAGGAGGGACAGTAGTTTGGACATGTCCAGAGGAGGGACAGTGGGTATACTGATAGAAGGATGTTAGAAGTGCAGCTGCCAGGAAAAAGACAGAGGAGATATATGGATGCAGTTAGAGAGGACATGGAGGTAGGTGGAGTGAGGACAGACGATGCAGAGGACAGAGTGCGATGGAGGAGGATGACTCTGTGGTCACCTCTGAAGAGGGAAAAGCCGAAAGAAGAAAAAGACGAAAGAAGTTTCATTGTCACGACTCATTTACAAGAGACCTGTTTTAGACAAAACCAAAGATAAGATACACACAACAATAAACAGCCATAAAATGCATATAAAATGAAAAGTATATAGAAGTAGTGATACAAAACAAAGTCAAGTCAAGCTACATTATGAAATGAGGTAAAAATACAAAAAACAGGAACATGTCTGCATTGATTTTTGCAATGAACTTAACAATTGTTTAACGTCCCTTATTAGAGAGGTCAAAGTGGGCAGCTTCAGATCTTTTTGCAAGCTGTTCTAGGTTACAGGAGCAGAGTAAGAAAAGTCCCTTTGGCTGAATTCACTGAGGAGACGCTGCAGGTAATTTTGTCTCGAGAGCCCACGCTGTAGCTGCACTGATGATGTAATATGTAGGAGGAGATTTATGAAGGCAACAGACCAAGGAGTGATTTAAAGATGAAAATGCACCAATGTGAGAGTCTGTGTGAAATTAATGATGAATACAGGTACAGTGATGGGTACGGCAGTTACAGCCAGTTATGAATCTAGCGCACCATGGTAGACCACATCCAACATCTGCAAGGTGCTTGTAGGGGCTTTCATATAAATAATGTCACCATCGTCAGTGGCTGAAAGGAAATTAGCAGCTACACGGTGTTTCCTAGCATTCAGAATTAAACAAGATCTATTTCTGAAAAAGAAACCCAGTTTTAATTTCAGTTACTGAAGTCAAGTTTTCGACATGCAACATAAAAGAGATGTGCATCGACCAAGATTCCCTAGTATTTGTAAGAATCCACAAACTCAATAGGAACACCATTCGTAGATAAGCTAGGAGGAAGGACTGCTGGTACCAACTATCAGTTTGGAAACACCGTCCCTTTGGTTTTATTAGCATTTAGCACCAGTTTGAGATGGAATAAGTCTGGCTGTCTGATGTCGAATGCAGACTGTAAAAGTTGGAAAACCTTACCAACTGTTTTTGCTCGACAGTAAACTGTTGTCAGCATTGAAATGCAAGTATGTGTCAGGAATGTTCTGACCTACATTACCTATGTAGATTGTAAAGAGTGTGGGTCCTAAGACTAAGCCTTGTGGTACACCATTATTGACGGTTAACTGGAAGAAGTACCATTGTGTTGAACACATTGCTTTCGGCCTGAATCTCATAATTCACTGAATAGATCTTAATGACATATTTAGAAAGTTATCATCTGATGTACATCTACAACTAATAAACTTTTGGAGTCAGCCTGATTTAAGATGGCCGCCACAGGAAAGCAAATTCCACTTCATTTAAAACTTACTCTGTCAGTTTTGGAAATACTCAGCTAAAAGTTTGTGTAGTAGTAGCTGAGAGTCATCATTAGCATATGCTGTGAGTGCCAACTGATTGTGTAGGATCTGTGTTTAAAACCTTGCCATAATCTTTTAGAACTAATCTTACTGTCTGTTAATAAAATATCTCATGAACCACTGGACGGATTTTAAAGAAACTTTCTAAAAGTAATCAACAGGTTGACACCTACAACTGGTTACATTTTGAACTCAGCCCAGTTCAAGATGGCCGTCACAGCCAATTTATCTTAGAATATACAACATTTTACAGATATTGGGCTAAGTTTGGTGTTTTCTGTAGCTCAGTGTTGTCCTAAATCTACTTCAAGAGCAACACATTGTGCAACGTCTTCACCTCGAACCTTGGCATTAATCAACTCTTTAATGTTAACAAAATATTTCATAAACCACTGGACGGATTTCAATGAAACTCTCAGAAAGTAATTATTTGATGTCCATCTGCAAATTATTAACCTTTGGTGTTGACTCATTTCAAGGCAGCTGCCACAGCTAATCAACGTTAGCCTACATAAAATCCCTATACTTGAGTAAATTTAGCAGATAGTGAGGTAAAGCGCAACAGCTGACACATACACCAAGCGCTGACAGGTTGTCTGAGATCATGCATTAGATCCATTACAGTTTGAGACTGCGCAGAATTAGATGTAACTTTGGCATTAAAGGTGGTGCCAATATTTATTCTTTTGATGAATTCCAATCTAGAAATGCTGATTTTAACAAAGTACAAGAAAAACCAGAAATGAACTGTCTCACAACAGTCTGAAGATCCACGTATCTTTTTAAACATTGTTGGAAAGTATGACAAAATGTAGCTGATATTTCAAGCTTCCAGTTTTATTGGAAAACCATTATCAGGAAAAACTAACGCATTAGATACTGAAAGCAAAGGTTCACATACTGTGACCACTATGTAATATTGGATCATTTTCCTCAATAAATGACCAAGTATAATTAGTCTCATTTGTTTAACTGGCCTCTCTTTATCTACTTTTAGGTGTTGTGTGAAAATCTGATGATGCTTTAGGCCGTACTGATGCAGAAATATAGGAAATTTGGAATATTGAAAAGTTTTAAATGGATATGGGAAGTTTGGAAATGACAGTGGAAAGATGGAAAGTTTTGGACAAACTTCAAGCACCACTGTGTCCGAGTAGTGCGGGTATTGCCTTTAATAAACTGCAGTCAGAGCACTCAATTTGGAATACAAGTAGTGAAGACAGCTAATAGATGAGCCAAACTAATGCATACTTTAAAATAAAGGTCGAGGTTTTATGAAAGCATGCATGCATCACTTGCTGCCAGAGTTTTCGACTGAGATCTTCTTATGTTGAGACATGTTGGAGTTGTAGCAGCCTTCTAAGGAGGAGGCCCACACCAAGATGGCGCAGCTGAAAACCATGTAACAGCACTCTGCTGCCTGAGCTTGTGTGTGGGTTTGTGTTAGCCGTGCTGCTGATTGGAATTTAAATACTTTTTGGACTAAGAATAATTTTGAAGTAAACCAGTAAATGTTGAGCTTCAAATTATACTTTTGGTTGCAAAATGATGTGCTTGATACTTATTATTTTATATTTTGTCTCCTATTGCAGAACACGTTGATAGGCCTGTCCAGAAACGTGTTTGAGCCAGATTTACCACCTCCACCACCCCCACCCAGACCTCATCTAAGTGACAGCAGACCCAACGGATCATGCCTGGAGCCACAGGCCGGCACAGGAGACCACCTCCTGGTAAAGGAGGCAGACGGCCAGGACCACCCTGTGATAGAAAACTCTGTGCAGTAAGTGGCAGCTCAGGAACTCTTGCAACAAACATTGCTCTGTAGATTTTCAGTGTGCTAGTCTTTATCCCAAAAGAAAAACTAACTCAACGTCTTGTTTTATCCATGTAATATTTTTGCCTTGGCAGTTTCTTTTTTAAGATTAAAATTCTCACAATTTTTCTTTCTTCCATCTGATATTTCAGAGTGAGGAAAAGACACCGTGAGGAGAGGATTGCCAGCACCACACAGAAGATCCAGCAGATGAAACAAAGACTGAGTTACTCAGAGGAGGAGGAGAAGAAGAAGAAGAAGAAGAAGAAGAAAGAGACGAGGCAGTCCTGGAGGCCCGTACTGCTTAGCGTTGGTGCCGGAGCAGTGGTGGTGGTCGGCCTGTTGTGCTGGATGTACGCTCATTAAAGTGCACTGGCTCCCTAACAACGGACTCCGTTTTTGCATCGGTACTAGGGCTTAGGTACTTCCTCCATTAGTATATATAGATGGTACAATGTGCATAACTGAAGATATTTATTACTTAAGGTCAAAATGCAGGAGTGCTAGATCAAATGAGTGTATATTTTTCTCGTAAGATCTTAAAAAGGTAACATCTCAGGATCCTGGTGCCAGCACAAAGATTCCCCTCTTCTTTACACTGTTGTTGAATGTGTCGCAGTAAAGTTGCTTTGAAAGAAATGACTAAAGGTGCAGTGCAAAGAAAACAATTCCTGACAGGTTTATTTTTGCATTCTTTATTTGTAATAGGCTCTTGTGTGTTTATCACTTACGGATACGTTTTACATGACTGGGAATGATGTCCATCCTACCATTAAAGATGTAGGAAAACTCCAGAGCCAAAAGGTCAGCGATGAGATTTTATTGGTTTTAATATAATGAATGCATGTTTTTACTCGTTTTCCAGATCACCATCAGTTCTTCCGCTCATATTAAGCAGGGCATCCTAACATGGCCAAATACACACACACACACACACATTTTGTGTTTGTGACTAGATACTTCATAGGGGGTAACCCTGTCATAATTCAAACCCCTCCTGAACGTTCTTTTTCTCGTTTCACTGAATTTATACAAACTGCCGAGCTCCTTGCCCATTAGTGCATGTGTTGACCCACTGGATGGGTTCATGTTTTTCTGCTGTTTTATTAAGAAAACCAAAGCAAAGCTATTTGTTTCAGGAAGATGATGGCTTAAACAAGCTGTTGATGACGAAGCCTTGTACTCCCATTATGTGGAATGTATTTTCTCTTGAAACTCTCACGTGTTACTAAATGAAGCTATTCTTGGTACCTTTGACATTTTTGTTGTGTGACTTTAATTTTCACCTATAGCATTACACAATTGCGTTTAAACTCCCATCTAATCTGAAGTTATGAAAGTGTGAACTTGACGTTGGAGCGAGCACCTTGTAATAAAGAAGATGAAAGACGAATGTTGTCGTACTCGTGTACAATAAAACATAGAACTGATAGATTGCACATGTGAGCAGGTCGTCTTCTAGTTTTACACAGGTTCAGTGAATTAGTGATTAGTGTGCTCCCTGGTCTCCAGCACGATCAGAACCAAACACTTGCCTGTTCCACAACAGTACGCAGCAGTATCTGAGCGGTAGAATATCATGGAAGGACGGTCACTTGCACGTTACTATTTACTTCATGCTGCAGAGATGCAGTAAGAATATAGCAGGTTGGGTGTGTGTGGACAAGACACTTCATTGTAATGAAATATTTTGATGTATGCACCAAATCGCTGGCGTTTTGTGTGTAAATCAGGCAGAGAAGCTCGTCGGCCCCCAGCTCTCCACTTCACTGCTGGTACAGTCATTTCATTTTGACAGCGATCCAAATCAATGATTCAATGCGCTCAGACTGGGTTCCAGGAACTGATGCAGTATTTTAAGAAGAGGTTTTCCTTGTACCCAGTGCTTTACTCACTTGCTTTTGTTTTTGCTAAGATACAGCTTGTGTTGGGGTGAAAGCACAAGATTTTCTTTGCTTAGTAAATTTAAAAAAGTTGATATCTAAACTAACACGTTAAACGTTTGATTGTAATTATTATACCCTACTTTTTAAAGTATTTTTATGATGTATACACAAGTCAAAATTCAAAATAAAAACGACTATTGAGGGAAAAGGAGGTATGGCATTAAAACTAAATGAAATCATTAAATGTAATTCAAACTACAAAATTGGGTCCTTTCGTTGGAAGCCGTTTTTCGTAATGACGTTGGGGCAACCAGTATGAATCCTGAATACATTTTCAAACGTTTTTCAGCGACACCTAAGCTTTAACTAATTAAAACGAAACGGGGAATTGTAATATTACTTTGTAGAATCACAACAGTTTAGTTTATTTTGTAATAGGTAAATGTGTTTTCTTTCTTTTTTTTATTTATTTTTGATCAGGCAGTAGGTGAGACTTGTTCCCGCTTCCTGTTTCGTCTAAATTTAAACTGGCGTTTGTGTGACTGTCAACACAAGAACAAGGTTACGGGGGTACGAAAAATATGCATATTTATTACGTATAGCTAAAAAAAAGAGAGATTTAAAACAAAAACCCGCTGAACTTAATGTTTGTAGCCGTACACCTTCACTAGCTTGCCCATCTGTTTTAGCATTAAGTGTCGAAGCAAATGTGTCTTCCTCCAGAGAAAGCTTCAGAGTTGAAGCAGATGATACACAGCCATCTGCTCAAGGTAAGAACTCAGTAACTGATATTCCTGTGTGTTTGAAGCATTGTCCACAGAAGCAGTATTTCTTTTCTACCTTTGGTTTAACAGCGACGACACAGACTTGTAAACGATGGACGTTTTTGAACAACACTGTTAAAATATGTGCTGAAACTGAAGTGCGGCTCCATCCATTAATTATCTTTACCCGCTTCTTCCTTTTCGGGTCACTGGTGTCACTGGTGTCCATGTCCAGCCATCACTGTGTGAGAGGTGGGGGACACCTGGACAGGTCTCCAGTCCATCACAGGGACACATAGAGAGAGACAAATGAGACAAACATTCACTCTCTCTCACCTAGAGACAATTTAGAGTTACCAATCAGACCAACATGCATGCTTCTCTTTATTATTATTATTATTATTATGCATATTTTTGCAACAGAAATAGTGCTGCATACTTTGTCCTACTATAGCCATTAACATTTCTAATTGTAAATCTAAGAAGGAAAGCTTCAATGAAATCCATCCAGTGGTTTATCAGCTTCATCTCTGGATGGTGGTGGTTTCCTCACATTAACAGCTGCTTCAGGTCCTTCCACAACATCTGGATTGGATTAAGGTCAAGACTTTGATTGGGTCATTCCAAAACATGGGCTTTATTCTTCTTGAACCATTGTTTGGCAGAAAGACTTGTGTGCTTAGAGTCTTGCTGCATGACCCACCTTCTCTTGAGGTTCAGTTCATGGTGGAGTCAGGTCCTCTGGACAGATTCTTTTGTTCAAACATTTTGTCTTTTATCCGGAATACTTCTTCATAGGGGTGCACCGATAAATCGGACGGCTGATTTATCGGCCCTGATTTCCTTAATTTTGGTAAATCGGAAATCGGCCGATACTTGCATGAGAAACCGATTTTATTTTTTTTAGTTTTATCAACAATTGTCTGAACTTCATTTATATTTCAGAGCACGACCTCATAGCCAGTTAAAACAAGTTTGTATTGTTTTTAGGATACTGTTCAAGGGTATGTTTTTCAATAAAATAAGATGGAAAACTGAAGGTGCATTGTGACCTTATAACACCTGACAGTGTTGCTTATAAAACAAAATCAGAATCGGCAGGTCAGACTTTTTAGAAAACTGCACTCGGTGCACCCCTACTTCTTCAGTCTGAGGAGCTGCACTAAACTCAGTCTCAAATCAACCAGTTTGCTAGCGACAGCCAAAACTATCTGTTCACATGCAAAAGGGGGACCATCCTAATGAATGATCGTTATTACATCACTCAGCCCCCTGTGAACAACAAGCGGTCACCAGGGCACTAACAGCATTATAAGAGGGGGACAGTTGAACCCGGAGGCCTCCACCCCTGTTTAACGATGGACGATTTCTCTTCACAAAGATGGCCTCCTTTACTCCTCTCTCAAACATCCATTGTTCCTCTCTGTCCAGGATGTGAACATCTTCATCCCTGAACGAGTGACCTCTGTCCTGCAGAACCACAGAGTCTTGGCCTGATGATGTTGCTCTTCCATGCTTTTGGCCAGTGGCTGTTTAGTTTCCCTGATGTATAACAAAGATGTTTCAACAAAGAAGAATCTGTCCAGAGGACCTGACTTTAGATTCATCTACCTGGATTAATGAGCATGTATCAGGACATTCTAATTGTAAAGCTCATTCATGTGATGCTGGGCATGACCTTTGGTGCTTGTGCTATGGTTTTTGAAATATTAGGCTTTAATTAAGCTTTTAACTGCATAGAGAAATAATATAGATGTATCAGCAGCTTTGATATGTTAACACTGTCCCCAACTGCAGCAGGCTCTAATAATGTATTGAATGGTCCAATGATTACACAACTGAGCTGCATTTTAACATAGATAATAATACACTGCCTGGCCAAAAAAAAGTTGCCACCTGGATTTAACTAATCAAATAGGTACGAGCCTCCTATGGATAATTACTGCATGTTTGATTATCTTTCAGCAGCAACAAGTTATTTAATCCAACTGGTGCAGTGAGATGCTTCTCATTTCTTAAACAACCATGTTGAAAGACACATCGCGTGGTCGTGGAAAAGACATTGGTCTGTTTGCGAAGGGTCAATTCATTGACAGGCATCAAGCAGATGTTGCAGAAACCACTAATACTGTGTTAAGAACTGTTCAACGCATTATTAAAAACTGGAAGGATGGTGGGGACCCATCGTCTTCGAGGAAGAAATGTGGCCAGAAAAAAATCCTGAATGATCGTGACCGGCGATCACTTAAACGTTTGGTGAAATCAAATGGAAGAAAAACAACAACAGTAGCACTCAGGGCTGTGTTTAATGGTGAAAGTAAGAACATTTCCACACACACATGTGAAGGAACTCGAGGGACTGGGACTGAACAGCTGTGCAGCCTTAAGAAAACCACTAACCAGTGAGGCTAACTGGAAAAAAGGCTTCAATTTGCTAGGGAGCATAAAGATTGGACTCTGGAGCAATGGAAGAAGGTCATGTGGTCTGATGAGTCCAGATGGACCCTGTTCCAGAGTGATGGGTGCATCAGGGTAAGAAGAGAGGCAGGTGAAGTGATGCACCATCATGCCTAGTGTCTAGTCATCAATTCAAGATCTGGGTGAAAAATTAATGCAACACTGGATGAAATAGATCTTGTGACATTGTAGAAGCTTATCGAAACAATGACACAGTGAATGCATGATGTAATCAAAGATAAAGGCAGTCCAATGAAATATTGGTGCATGTCCTTTTTTTTGGTGGTGACCTTTTGTTTTTTTGGCTAGGCAGTGTATATTAGTATTTTCTGTAGTATTACATTATTTTCTGAAAGCCAGTGGCTCAGGGACTGGACATCCAGTAAATAGTTATTATGTAACTAAACCAAGTATTACAGTGATCTGTTACCTATTAAATTTGTTTATTTTTGCTGCATTGAATTATAAATGCAATAAACAGAACCCAAATATGTAATTCAAAGAAATTGCATTTCAAAATTTATTTCCTTATAATAAAAGTAGTGATATTCTAATGTGAAGCCATACTAAAAACAAACATGACACATTATGTCTTATTATAATTACCTGGTAAGTTAATTTACTCAAGACACTTTTCTACAATGGAGCTTTAGTCTATTCTCTTAAGAATATACATGTTTTTGGTATCTGTTTATTTGACCACTTGAAAAATGATAATAAACAAACAACAATTAGCAATACTTATTTATTTGTTTATTGGTTCATTTATTAATTAATTCATGGATCAATCAAAGTAAGCATGGTGTGAACACAACTTTGTTGGTTCTCCTCTGTCTCTGGTCACCTCAGTCATGATTTTGACTACGCAGAAAGAGGACTAACAGGACTAACAGAGGACCAGCAGAGGACCAACAGAGGGCCAACAGAGGGCCAACAGAGGGCCAACAGAGGACCAACAGAGGACCAACAGAGAACTAACAGAGGACCAACAGAGGACCAACAGAGGACCAACAGAGGACCAACAGAGGGCCAACAGAGGACCAACAGAGGACCAGCAGAGGACTAACAGAGGACCAGCAGAGGACTAGCAGAGGACCAGCAGAGGACCAACAGAGGACCAGCAGAGGGCCAACAGAGGACCAACAGAGGACCAGCAGAGGGCCAACAGAGGGCCAACAGAGGACTAACAGAGGACCAGCAGAGGACTAGCAGAGGACCAGCAGAGGGCCAACAGAGGACTAGCAGAAGACCAACAGAGGACTAGCAGAGGACCGACAGGTTCAGACCTCACAGACAAAACTACCAAACCAGAACCGCACCTTTTTTAAGTGAAGGCGTGGCACAGTGGATCAGTTTTCAACAGACCTCTGTCAGGTCAAACACTGAGCATGAAGAAAAAATTGCTTGGGGAAAAAAATCTACTTCTTGAAATATTAACATTAATAATTATATTAGTATGTTGTCTTCCACAATCTTTTGAACTACCCAGATTGCTTCATCCTATCACATCTGTTGTAACTTGTAAATGTTCCTGAGCATCAGGAGATGATGCTGACTCCTGGTTCTTGTGCAGCTTCTGTGTACACGCAGAGTGGATTCAGATGCTTTTAGGCCTAAATTTCAGCCGTTCAAATACTTCTGCCAAGACATGCTGATAAACAACATCAGACATCATGCGCACTGGTTTATGTTTAAACCCTAAACTTATTTCTACTTCTAGTAGATTTTCTAAACTAAGTTTATTTGAAATGTTGTTTGTATAAACAAGGTCCACTTGCATTAAAAAACCAAATTATTTATTTTCTCAGTCTTGAATAGTTCTTTTGATTCTGAGCCAAAACAAAAGGGTAAATGGATGTTTCTGCTTGTCAGATGGATATCCATGGGAAGATCCGAGAAGTGCTGGCTGAGACGATCCGGGATGATGAAGGCTCAAAGCATCGGTCTCTGTCTGAGGCAGACTTCCTACATGCTCTGCAACGCAGGGGCATCGTAGATGATGTGATGAAAGACCTTCACTTCTCCAAGGTTCCCCTGCACTTTGCACACATTTCAGACGTCTAAACTTTCATTGCATCTCTTTAAGTTGGGACTAATTGTGTCACTTTGCATATGATGACAGGAAACAGCCACAGGTGTGGGATCAGAACCTCCTAAGCCTGCCACTTATTTTGCAGACAAAGATATTACTCAGTTAAAGAAAAGTAAGAGGTGCATTTTAGATTTTACAGACCCAGGTGTTAAAAAAAGATTGTGCACGTTCTTGCACAGGATTTAACGTGATTGCATTATTTGTCCTTTTCTTTGTAAGGCAATACTGATCCATCAAGGCGGAGCTTGCATCTCCAAGTGCTTGGAGGTAAGGCTTTTCTTGAGCACCTGCAGGAGCCTGAGCCTTTACCTGGTCAGGTATGCTCTACCTTTACACTTTACCTGCACTTCCGCAACCAGAGGTTTTGCTCCAAACCAGTACCTTGTGCCTGTGAACCTGATCTGAAGGAGGGCTTCCTCCTAGACATCTACAAAGACGGTCTCGGTAAGAGGAAACCACCACTGTCGGGGTCTGTCGTGATGCAACTGCTAGTTACTAAACGATCGAGCTTAATATGTTGAATTTATTTCTGTCATTTCAGGTGATGGTAGTAAGATGGTAGATGCTACAACCATGCTATCTATGTGTGACCCAGTCCACTTTGTACTGATCAAGACGGACACTTCCAGTGAGACAACGCTGGTCTCATCCTATTTCCTGGACTGGAGGACAGTCCTCAGCTCGCCTAGTGGCAAGACGTGCTTTGCTGTGGAGCTGATGGGAGTTGGTGAGGAACAGTAATGCAGCTGCTGCCTTAGTCTTTGATGAACGACTTACAGAAGTGGAAAGAGGTGAAATCAGTTTTACTCCAGAGGCAAAAACTTTAGTCATAAATTGATACCTTTATGGAAAGAAAGCCAGCACAGTGAAACATCCAGTGCCAAATGATAACCACTGACATAAAAATGGCTCTAACAGCAGATACTTTAAACTGCTTTACTGTGTCTTTTTTCAGAATAAGCAGCAGCCAACAGCAGAATGAGGATATTCATTTTGTAGAATTAAAATGTAGACTTGACCTAAAGAGAGACTGATTTTTTATTTATTTAAAGGAGGGCTAATATTCTCAAACTGCAGCATGAAAGATAAAAAGCTGAAGATGAAAACTACTTATCGTGGCGTGTTGAAGCAGAGAGCATTAAAGCTTGCAGAGCCTGAGCACCAGGAAAACAATTATTACCAAATGAAAATATTCCCGGGTGGCACGGTGGTGCAGTTGGTAGAGCTGCCGCCTCTCAACGAGCAGATCGCCCCAGATCAAATCCCGGCCGGGGGGCTTTCTGGGTGGAGTTTGCATGTTCTCTCCGTGCATGTGTGGGTTTTCTCCAGGTTCTCCAGTTTCCTCCCACAGACCAAAAACATGCATGTTAGGCTGATTGGTAACTCTAAATTGTCCCTAGGTGTGAGTGAGAGAGTGAATGGTTGTTTGTCTCGTTTGTCTCTGTGTGTCCCTGTGATGGACTGGAGACCTGTCCAGGGTGTACCCCACCTCTTGCTGCTGGATATGGGCACCAGTGACCCCCTCCACCTGAAAAGGGAGAAGCGAGTAAAGATAATGACTGGATTTTGTTTAAATAACATGTAAGATGCAGATTTATCTGGGAACAAAACTTCTTCATTGTGTTTATCTTCTCTTTAAGTGGCAGCAGTTTTTGGTGATGAGTTTGTGTGTCTTCAGGAAGCGAGTGCAAAGTCCCAGTTGGTATTTTGACTGTCAGTCTGGAGCTCTACCCTCCTCTGCGTGAACCTTTGAGCTCTGACATCATCAGCACACAGGTCAGTACAACAGATTCACTTTACCCGACAGTCTGCTCGAAAATGTGCAGGAAAGATGAGCTGAGCCAACAAATATGAGAAGTCGGAACATTTCTTCCTCTGCTCGTGCTGTTGGCACTTTTGAAATTACTGTAATTTCCAGACTATAGAGCGCATCCCAATATGTACGGTAAATGTTTTTGTCCTGAACAATGCCTTTAACACGGCTGGTTAAAAAATAAATACACTAGCCCACCAGGAAAAGTCACTTAACACTATGTTCATCTTCCTCCTGTGCACTAAAACCACAAGTCGTCTTCTTCACTGTCAGAACTGAACAGCCTCAGAAAAACGTCATCACACGTCCTCAGTCTCTTTCGTTGTCAAAATAAATACAGTAGCCTTCCAGGAAGTCGTTGATCTCTATCTTCATATTCTTCTGCTGCAAGCTTGTGCACCACGGCGCAAAAGTTGCTCTGCGCATGCAGGAGAGTCCCCCCTCACATGCGCAAGGGGGGGATTCTACCCTTCCCCGTTTCATTGGTTCGACTGTGACCTGTTTGGTAATTTCATTGGTCAGATTTTATTTTTTTTATTTTTTTTACCTTTATTTACACAGGTAGTCTCATTGAGTCACGAGGACCCACCTCCCAAGAGAGACGTGTGTTGGGCAGCTAAGTGAGCACCTGGGTGTGACGAAGCTAAATGTTTTTGGCGGCAGGAAGCTTGTTAGCCCATTAAAATAAACAAAATCTATAAGTTAATTGCAGCATTGTATAAACCGCAGGATTCAAAGTAAGGTGGGACGATATGGTCAGCCAAAACTTTTATCACGATATATTTCTTAATTTCCATCGATAACAATATAATTCCGTTATCAATATAAACAATGTAAAAGCCTCAGAAAACTGTGTTCACCTTTAATTTGTATTTAGCCTTCAAAGACATTTGAAATCACTGTCACATAAACATAAAACTCTCACCTTGTCAGTATTAACAGTTTGAACTTTAAACAACAACATAATTAACCCATGCAGCAAACGTCTGCGTCACATTTTGCAGCACACTGAATCCTGAAGTTTATCACATCTTAATAGCCGAACCACTTCCACATCGCCAAATTAGTCGTTCCTCTCTAATCAATTATGTCATGTGCTTTCTCTTCTCTTGTGAAAGCTCGTTCAGTCACATTCTGACGGTCATGGGAACTCATTTTGAAGAGAAAACTTAGTGCGCGTTGGAGATTAGCCTAGCCTGCTAACTCCTTCTGCACTCAAGCTCTCTGTGTGGCGTACGTCACCACACACTTCCACAGTTGTGACGCTGTAATCATATCATCGTTATTGAATAAAAATATATTGTGATATATATCGATATCGAATTATTGTCCAACCCTAGTTCAAAGCCTGCGAAAAAAGTATCAGCTTATAGTCTGGAAATTACGTTGAATAAAAAGTTGGAAAATATTTAATATTTTTTCCAAGTTTGAAGTCTCGCTGTCAAGCTCACCTTTTTTAACTTGTCCTGCTAAACTTGATGTTTTATATTGATGTTTTATAATATTTCATGCGTTTATTTCTGAGTTAGAATAATTCCTGTGAGCGGAGGTGTCATCAGATATCATCACCGTTAAGATTCAACCCTCCTTGGAAAAGATCTTGGTTCAGTGCTGTAAAAAAATCATGACAGCTGACGTCACCGTTTGCTCCTCGTTCAGAAATCACTGGAGAGGCAGCGCACGGCAGAGAAGGAGAGGCTTTTCCTAGTTTATGCCAAACAGTGGTGGAGAGAGTTCCTGGAGATCCGACCATCTCACCAGTCCAAGATGGTCAAGATCTTTGCCCAGGTTTGTCTTTGCTGCATGAACAAAGAAACCGTTTTCTCTCATTCATCAAGCCTTTCTGCTCCTACTGTATGTGCAGGCAGCTCTTTAGTTTTCTTACATGCCGTTCCTTTGAGCAGACGAGTTCACACGCACTCGTCAGATGTCATCATTTTGTCTGCAGCCACTCATCCACTCAATGGTTTTTACAGTTTTGTGCAGAGGAAGTGTAACCTGTCCAGCAGGTGTGAACCTGTTTTATTTGTGTCTGTACGCTCCTCAGGATGAGAATGGCGTCAACAGACCGGTGTGTTCATACGTGCGTGTCCTTCGCGCTGGCCGCCTCCTGGAGAGCCCTCGACAGGCTGCCCGCTTCGTCAGCCTGCTGGCCCATGAGAGGGTTCCAGTGGTGGGAGGGGGGGCTAAACAGGAGGCGTGGTGCACTTTAATGGCTTTTCTGTGTAGAGGCAAGGTATGTTTCTGGAAATGCACTTGTTGTAATGCTGTGGTAACTTTTCGATGACTTCTCACTAAGGTTTAAACCAAAGCCTTGTGCAATGTGTAGCACTCGGAGTGTGAGTTGTGAATAACTCGACTATAACTACACCAGATTTTATTTTAGCTCAGTGTCTGTAAAACTGTCTGAATTATAGCCATTTCTTTATTTTTAATGTCAGTTGGCTGTGGCTGCCATCCTAAGTAAGAGTGACTTCACAAGTTCGTTTGTTGTAGAAGTACATCTAATGATTATTTTCTGAAAGTTTCAGTGAAGTGGTTTATCAGATACTTTTCTACGAGACATATAAACACACACAGGCGCTGGCAAAAACATCCTCGTCCACCTTTGCCTTTCTGTGGTGGGCGTTTAAAAATGTTGAGCCCTTACTCTGGTTTAACATCTGTTACGTCCTTGTTGCTGCACTGGATGAGTTCCAGCAGATTTATAGGTCCTGCTGCTTTAAAAGTTTTGGTTGCAGTCAGAAATTCTTTGTTAAACTCTGCTGCGCTCGGCCCATGTCTGATGAGGGCAGATTTGTCCGGAGTTGACTGCCTGCTCCATTTTCATCTTGCTACTTGATAGTGGGGAACTTCCCAGACCACCACAGGGTAAATGTTCTGCCTGTCCTCCACGAGAGGCTGGAAAGACAGACCAGCACATTTCTCACCATGTGGCCCTTGTCAGCTGTGATTTACGAGTTTCATTTCAGGGAAAATTAATTTAGCCTCATCTGTCCCCAGTTTGTTCTGATGCTACTGTCCACATTAGTACTTCTGGGGAGCATCTATCATTCTGATAGAACCAGGCAGCAGCAGCAGTTGTCCCAGCTCTGCGTAGACCTTTTACCAGAAAACTTGTACCAGTAAAAAAACACAAAACAGTTGCTTACTGTTATGGACAATTTGTTGACTACAGAGATTATTTTCTCCCTCTACTTGAGACTTGCCTGTTTTGTGTTCAACACTTCTAAGAAAGGCTAACAGCGTAGCAAGAACTGGATACTGTATGTAGTTTAAATTACAGTAAACAAGATTATAGTTTTGATGGATTACATAAAGGCTGGTGTTTGAAACATCTGTTCTGCTTAAACCTGCTGTCACACTCCTCACAAATAAGTGATTAATTTCTTTTACAACAGAGGGGAGAATTTAACAATTGGGAACTAATAAACAAAAAAAAAAGTAGTTAAAAATAACCAAGACGTTCATTTTCAACCTTTAAGATTTTAGGTCAGCTGAGCTTTTCAAATACGTTATTAGTATATTAGTATTTTTTTTAATTAATTTTGACACGAGACAAAAAAACAAATCTAATTAGTGAAATAACTCGTTTTAAAAAAAAGTAGTAAACTAATAATATTTTACTGTTAAATATTTACTATATTTAGACTAAAACAGTAACTGTGTTGAGAACAGGGAACAGGTGGAAGAGAACTTGGAGAGGTGGAGGTATGCACTTGGAAGAAGCAGAATGGAAGTCAGTTGTAGTAAGACAGAGTACATGTGTGTGTGAATGAGAGGGAGGAGGTGGAACAGTGAGGCTACAAGGAGCAGAGGTCACAAAGGTGCAGGACTTCAGGGACTTGGGGTCCACTGTCCAGGAAAATGGGGAGTGTAGTAAAGAGGTGAAGAAGAGTCCAGGCAGGATGGATTTGTAACAAAAGAGTGGCAGCAAATGTCAAAAGTTTACAAGACAGTGGTGAGACCAACTATGTTGTTTTTGTCTGGAGACAGAGACATGGACAAAAAGACAGGAGAAAGAACTGGAAGTGGTAGAAATAAATATGTTCAGGTTCTCCTTAGGAGTGACAAGGATGGATAAGATCAGGAATGAGATCATCAGAGGTACAGCACAGGTTGAACAACTGGGAGATAAAGTCAGAGAGACCAGACTGAGATGGTTTGGACATGTCCAGAGGAGGGACAGTGGTTTGGACATGTCCAGAGGGGGGACAGTGGTTTGGATATGTCCAGAGGAGGGACAGTGGTTTGGACATGTCCAGAGGAGGGACAGTGGTTTG